GTCCCATGTTGTTGCGTAATCACTTGTCCCAACCACTTTGGCAAGTGTTCAGCTACCCTCTGAGCTAACTGACGGTTTGTCCTGCCTATGTAAATGTCACCGCAACCGCAGGTGAACTGATAAACTACGTGCGAGGCCGAACTACTTGACGAGATGCTCTGACGGTTATGAAGAACAAGTGCTCGCGTGGTATGCCTGAGTCGCAACTGGGCTGTCCTGTAGGTTCGCGTTAGGGCGGATCGGAGCTTGCGTCCGATGTCATTTGCCACATGGTCCCCCTTGAACGGCAAGAACAAATAAACATTCTTTTTCTCAGCCGTCAACACCGGTGTTTTCACGCTGGGAGGTCTGCTGTGTACCTGAATAAACTTCTCAGGATATCCATTGGAAATTAAGGTCTTGCGTAGAAATTCTTCTTCGGCTTGTAATGTTTCGGGGCTACAAATACGCCTAGCCCGGTAGAAGAGAGTTCTCACTAACCCGCGTTTGTATGCGATCGGGGCGAAGCTTGAAAAATGAAGGTACTGTCCAGTCCAAGTCGATTTGCGGTGAACAGTGCGCTGCAACGTACCTTCAGCCTGTCGTCTAATGTGTATATCTAAAAACGCCAGGCAGTGGTGTTTTTCCACTTCATGGGATACGGACAGATTAGGGTGAACTGAATTTAGGATGGTCAGCAGCCGAGTAAAATGTTCTCCGCTGGTGAAGACTAAAATGTCATCCACATATCGTCTATACAATTTCGCTTCACCAATGCTCTCAGCAACTTGTCTTTCTATCAGGCCGAGGAAGATGTCGGCTAAAACTGGTCCCAGCGGGCTGCCCATAGCGACCCCGTCGATCTGTTTGTATGCGGTCCCCTCAAATTCAAACCGTATGTTTTCGGTGCACAATAGAATCATATCCTTTAAATACTCCACTGGCAGGCCAACAGAGATATTTTGACTCAGGATAAAATCACATAAATTATCAACAGTCTCGCGTAAAGGCACGTTTGTGAATAAGGAGTCCACATCTATTGAGTACATAAGCTCCGCACTCAGTGACAATTGTTCCAGTGTCTCAGCCAGTTCAAAGGAGTCCTTCAGGCAATACGTAGCGAGGAGTTTACGCACCGGGTCTAATAGTTTGGCCAGCCACCGCGCGACATTGTGATAAGGTGAATTGTTCATGCACGTAATCGGACGTAGCGGAAATCCTGCTTTGTGTATCTTGGGAGCGCCTCGCATTCTAGGTGTCTGTGTCCCGGTCGGTTTTAAGTGCCTGTACTGTGACTCATTGATGTAACCATGTAGCAAGAGAATCTGGAGCTTCCTTGCCACCTGCTTCTCCACCAGGATGTTGTTTTCCGGTGTATTATCTAGCTGGAACTTCCGAGTGTCTCCCAGAATGGACTCCATCTTCCAAATGTAGTCAGGCCTGTTCATTACTACAATACCCGATCCCTTATCCGGCTGCAGGAACATTACATGCTTCATTTGTTTCAACTCCTTGATCGCCGTATAGTGTTCAGGTTGCAGACAGCACCTCTGACTTATCGGCGTACGCAGAAACTGGTTCGCAATGTCTACCAATTTCGCCCGAAACCAACCCACATCTTCTGTCGATCTTGGCGTGAGGTCACTGAGCTGTTCATTCAGATACTCAAAATGCGCCTGCGTCGTGACTTTGTCTAGCGCTTTTGGCGGCAGTCGGTATTTCATTCCAAGCGAGAGAACCTCCAATTGAGTGCGCGTGAACTGAGCAGAGGACACATTGTATACGTGCTTCAAGCAATCAGTAGGAATGGAAGCATTGGTGGCTTTAGCAAGAGAACCCTGCAGACTGCGCACTGTTTTTGCTCTCATGCGACGGAGAACTTCAGCGGAAAAGGCCTCAAATTTTAATCGACACACCAACGGCAACTCATTGAGTGTGAAAGCGAATCGTCTCTGCGTCTCGAGAAATTTCCGTTCTCGTTCCAGACAGGCGTCGATATGCGCCGACGCGATCCTGGCCAGATTGGTGTTGTTCATCGGCAACCTGTTCCTAGACAAGGTCTTAGCGAATCAGGGCGGGAAGGAACCTGAGCGGATACATTCCTCAAAAAACTTCACACGGACGCGTTCAATAGCTAACTTGCAGCGCAGAGACAACAATCGGTCTAATGCTCTCGCAACGGTAGCGGGGAGTCTTCTTTTCAGAAAAGTAAAACAGTGGGTCCCCTTCAGCCATTTCGTTAAGGCAGAGAGAAGACAGAGGTTGCGATATGTCAACATTTCGATTGTTCTCTTCGGTCGCAAACACAATACGATCAGAAACATACAAGGGATTATATACATGACAACCCGTCATCACGCAAACTCCGAGACAGCGTTTAAAGTGCTGTTACGTAACAAAAACCCGATAATGCTAGCAATTAGTGAGGCGTTGTTAATTAAGGCTTATCAACCTGTGCTATGTGCACAGAAACTCTTGAGGCAATCCATTCGGTTGCCATGGTCTTGACTGTGACATTTTGATTGGTGGTGTGTTTTTTCCCCATGTATATAATCCCTTGTATGTTTCTGATCGTATTGTGTTTGCGACTGAAGAGAACAATCGAAATGTTGACATATCGCAACCTCTGTCTTCTCTCTGCCTTAACGAAATGGCTGAAGGAGACCCACTGTTTTACTTATCTCTGTTTCACAGAGCCCATACCCTGTGCACAGAGGAAGAAGATAGGAATACCGCCCGGAAAGAAGCCGTGAACCAATTGCTTTTTAGGGATACCCGAGGCTGTTAGTAAACCGCCAGTTGGAGCGAATTTTAAATCCATACCGATGGCGTACCACGGAGTGGATTGGACCTGTAGGAATTCCTTGTAAAGATGGAACTTCAGAGGCTATCCGATAGGTTCCAAATGAAGAAAACATACGGGTTATTTTGTTGAAAGGCTAAACGCTTCGCTCTACACTGGTGCACTTGAAGGCTCAATTCCTACAGATAGGACAAGCAATTGCGTCTGCAAAATTAGTTGCAATGACTGAGCACACGTGTACATCGTCCAAACCGCGAGAGGGGTACGCACAAAGATAGCAGAACACAAGCGGCACATAACACGGCCACCGAGGAACGAGTTTGAACATAGTACTCTACTAAGGGATTCGACAGTAGCGATGCACGCCATATATACAGCTTATGAGATTGGCTTGGATAACGCCCCAATGGGGCTGACTGCTGAGACGGAGCAGAGTTTTCTAGCTTGTGGCGGGCGGTCTTCACCCGACCAGTCTGAGGAGCACCGGCGGACGGATCCAGAGCAGAGAATAAACGTCAAGTCGTCCCGGTATGTGACCTTGTAATACGGATCACTTGTGACCTTTCCAGGCACTATTTGGAGTGATGCATTGACCTGTAACGCGATTGGCCTTCTGCCTACATCCCATTCGTCGCGACTCTCTTCCCAGTTCCCTATATGTGCCATCCCAACGCTCAACTGCTTAATTGGCCTTGGCGAAGCTTTTGTGTCAAAAGCGAAATGTTGCCCACAAACTATACCAACCGGTTGTTTTCAAACCTTTCGGAAATCATGCATCCGACTCTTTAGCAAAACATCCTCTAGCCATGTTATGTTGTCGTTGTAGCGGTATAGGCCAAGGCAACTATGGATATCTACCTCACTTTGCTTACTGCATTCGAAGCAACGGTACGGATACCACACTCCATGCACCCGTGTGATTTCTTGTGTGTGGTCGGTCTACATGCAGTCTCTGTTGCTCTCCACCTCATCATTCAGAGCATCCGATCGAACTGCTGGTGGTTTTTCACCCCACCCCCTTAGGATTGTGACATTAACGCAATTACCATTTTTCTGTCATTTGCATTATCGATCTTGTCTCACTAGTTTCCTTATCGGTTTCACCGACGTTCCTCCTCACTCATCTTGTTCAGCATAGGTATTACATATTTTCGCATGTTTCATGCATTGGCCCTACGATTCGCGTCTGATCTCCGTCAACCACCGCCGCAGTCGTCACTGGCACAGCTTTGATATCAGTTGTATTCCATGAAATGGCGCCATTCACCTTCTGTCGTCATTCATCCCCTATGTGCACACTCAAATTCTGCATTTTGACTTATCGTTGCCCTCCTCAACTAGTGCAGGCTTCCAGAACCCTGTATCATTTGTGCGAACGGCTGTGATTGCTCCCTGGGTTCTCCGAAGCCGAGTTTCGTGCCGATGGTAGACTCATGTGGTTTAAGCACTGCGACTATCCAGCTGTCACCACACATTTTTATTTCAAGGCCGGTGTGAGCGATTTCCAAATCATTGATGTGTTCCTTGGAAGGAAGAAGTACGATTTTCAAATGATTTTGACGGCTTTGGACTCCTTTTTTGACGCTACACACCTGATGGCGTCGAACCTCATTACCTTCAGCGTACTTCCGGGGTGTCCAGGTATACATTAACTCGCTTGGCTACCGAACGTTTCTTCAAAAATTAGATCCAACTTCCCAAAAGCCCATTTTCAACGGCACTTACTTACTTGAGCACAGCTTCATATCACCAGAAGGCTTTCGGTCTGTTTACTGCGTGTATCAAAGGCTTGTATATCCTCGATCTGTTGTATTTGGAATCTGAACTGAGTACTTTAGCTTCGATTCGCTGCGTCACAGATCAGGTACGTGGTGTTTTCAAAGTGAGTAGGAAAACCGATCGTCATGCGCTTCCAGTGTGCCTGGAGTCCATTGAGCATGTGCGCAGATCATTTGTAGAATGTTGTCTGAGTCTGTGCTGTGGTTCACCAGGGGGCCATATTCCAGAAACAGTTATTTCTGCAGATTGCAATCTTCTGACCCAAGATTATGTGTCTCGTCATCATATAGGTAACTTGTCCTCTAACACCTCATGTACGCGGCGCTTTTTGACGCATTCAGGTGTAGTTTGTGTGAAACTAGTTTATACTCACTGTGTGCCCTACGCCTACACATGTGGCTTTGATTTCCCTTTCTGTCTGTTCTTTCGTCATGCATAGGTGTCATCCCACGAACTGCCTCCGCCGCCCGCACCAATCTTCGATGTGCCCCCTATCAACGAATGCCCCGATTTACCCCCGTTTGTGCCTCCGCATGACGGCGGTGTATTACCGCCTCCTCCCCCTCCGCCTCCTCCTCCTCCACCACCGCTGCCGCCGCCGCCGCCGCCACCGGCTTCTCTTCAACCCACTTCCGTTGCATTCGGGGTTGTTACTGATCAGATAAGCAGACTGGCTATCAGTCACACCGATCCGGATCACAAGTCGCGAGTTGGCTCCCGTCAAGGCCCTCCACAAGATTTGCTTTCGGCTATCCGCGCCGGAATTGCCCTACGTAAAGTTAGCGACACTCAGTCGTCAATTTCGTCAAAGTTCTCTCGAAACAACTCCATCAGCAGTTTGGGCATGAAGCCAAATGATGTACAGGTACACTTGTCTTCACGTGATTGCTCGCTCATTTGTGCACGCAAATTTTGCTTAACGATTTGCTCAGTATGAGATCTCTCTAGGTCACCACCGGGCATTTAATTTTGCAAAATACGTTAGAAGCTTTATAGATTCGCTCTTTCGATGCGGTTCCGCTACTCCAGGCGGTGCATTGCATCAAATCCTGTTCTTGAACTGCGATGAAGAACTCACGCCAACTTATAGGCGGAAGTCTTAGGGGAAGAGATCGGAGGAGAATTTGGTTTCTTAAAGCAAGGGAAGCAAGAGCGCTTGTGCAAAGACACCGCAGAGTTATTCGCTTTGAGCCCGTTCCGATGCTCTTATTCATGAGAGCGGCATTCAGCAACAAGGCCTAGTGTCTCATCCCCATTTCTTTGCCCCTTGTCATAGACTAGCCACCTCGGGTTATCAACCAACCATTTAAATAGCAACCGGCTTGCGTTTTCGTCCCGTCCTCTAGCTCTGCCCCCTTCGTGATTGTACCACTGTTTTGCCACATTCCACGCGCGCTTCTATATTTCAAAGATCACGAAACCTGCTTCTCACAGAGGTCTGACCTCAGAAACTTATTTCATGTGACTATTCCCTATGGTACTTTACATTATATCTCCATTTCACGTTGCCTTAACCTTCTTGTATTAGTCAAGAGAAGGATTCCCGACCAGTATTACTGTACACATCGGCGACCTGGCCGCCGTCGCACGCACATAACATCTGGACATCGAGCGTAGTTGGTCACCACTGCCGTTGAAATATCTGGCCGGAACTTCGAGTGAATTATGCTGAAATGCCTCATCCGCTTTTTGACGACAGTCTCTCTGGTGTGTCATTGATCTGGTTACATATATGGTTGGCGGCATCCGGTTTCGGATTTGCCTGTCACTGTGGCCAACCACAGGACGCCTGCGCCTACAAAGGGACCATGGGTGGCTTGCGCTGCACCACCCACAGCTCCAACCACACACCCCATATTCAGTGTAAACCCGAAGGAATAAGACCGGGAGGCATGTGGATAGGAGCCACGTTTCATCAACGGAGACGGCCCACACTCCTTTACAGGCAAACACAAGATCGCTGTATTTGGGGAATCAAGCGCACACAAGGCGGTGGCTGGACCGTAGTCCGCTCCACACTGAGTGCATAGAACCAATCCTCGAGTCAAGCACGGTTATAAGGACCGTGCACCCCGTTCCGTCCAGCCGCGACCAACTGTCTCCTGCGGTCAGAATGGACGAGGTAGTGGGTAATAGACAGGTAGGCACCTTGTCGACATGCACATCAAGCGCAGCCACACCGGGGATATCAAGCAACAGACAATCACTTGAGAGAAAGATAGCAAAGAAAATAAATCGAGTAATGCATAAGGAAACTTGACAAAAATCTTAAATTAATTAGCGTATGAGATAAGTTGTTAACAAAGGATTTGAGATAAGCTTACGATGTCAGGAAGTATATTTTACGGAAATGCCACAAACACGAAAATGTTATCGAAATTAACTACTATTGGCTTAAGCGACGTTTGCAGGTTTATAGAAGAGAGTACTGGTAGACATTTAGATGAGAAACAAAAGTATTCGGATAAAATTGAAAACTCACCATCTAAGATAAATAGACTTAGCATGCAAGCACGCAGTTAGTAAATCGAATGTAGCGTGCCTACAAATGCTGCGCCGGTTCTGCCTACGTTCTCTGCAGGACCCGTCGTCGCTTCGGTAGTGGTCCCGAGTGGCCTCGTTCATGGCTAACTAGGCCTGCCTGACTCAGGCACTCGCGACCGCATGTGCTGCAGCACCATGCGTTCGCTGTCGATGGAGTACAACCCATCGGTACTTGCCGCTTCCGCACTTGCCGCTTCTTCTATGCATGTATGAGGTCTTTCTCCCGCACTTCGGCAACCGCCTGCTTGTATTATATATATATATATATATATATATATATATATATATATATATATATATATATATAAACAGCCAATCGTAGTATAGTTAGCAGAGTGCCAAAACATATGGATAAGAACGAGGAGAGAGATCGCGAAAAGAGTAATAAACAACCGGTGCAAGTGTAACTATTGTATTAGAGTCTCACGACATGTCCATCATTGACTGCGAGACCTTACCACGTCCGGGAGAGTTTCCAGTCACACGTGTTCATAGACCTTGCACCTCCAGTCCGCATTTCGCTAGCGCCCGACCACGGGCAACTTTGATATTAGCGCGTTCTTTCTTTGGACTCAAGCCGTTCGTTATCAACCTTAAGCTTCCAGCTGGCTTTTAGACGCGCAAAGCGGACGTTATGAGGTAAGCGCTGGGTAGACATGCGAAGTACGTGCCCTTGCCATCTTAGCCTGTATGGTAATATTATGCAGCTCAGCGGTCGGTATAGTTTGTCTGATTTGAAATTCCTTCAACGAAAGTCATCATTATTAAAGTGCTCTTACTACCATACATCAGCAATACTTCGAGAGCAGCTGTTGTCAAATACAGACATCCTCTGGATATCTTCTGCGCGAACAGGCCAAGTCTGGCAACCATAGCGTTGAATCGCTCGCACTGTAGCATTATAGACTCTGCCCTCGTTGACTCGGTCATGCAATCCTGCGTGCCTCCAAACTGATTGACTCCACATGTATTGTCTAACTACCAATCACCAGTATGATACTTAGCATAAAAGACCTCGTAAGTTGTACCTTAGGGTTTCACAGGGATGAATTCAACAAGCTACCATAATTTTTTCAGGCATAGTTGAACGCCTCACGTTGTCTCCACTATACGCTTAGAGGCTCCGAACTTAATACTTCAGCTGACTACCTACATGGTCCCATCCGATTCGATGGCATTCAGCATTTCCGCTTCCAGTAATTGGATTAAGGTTACCAGGGAAGTGATCCTCATCATTGGAAGCTGTTCATATGGTCGACCATTTTTTATGGCATCAGTTTTCTCTGGGTGTAAGTGAGACCGCACGCAGCATCTAGGCGAGACAATATGAGGACCAGCGGCGCTTTCCGATTGGTCTGACGCAACATCTACGTCGTAGTACGTCATATGACATGAGTCTCTATCTTTAAAGTGCAGTTTGACTGAAAAAGCTTGGATATATACATTTTCTTACTCAAAGAAACCACGTCTGCTGACCGGTGCGATCGATCTTTATTCGTGCTCTTTTGCTCTCTATGTGTTCATTGGAGGTGGGGGTTTTGTCCAAGGGTTCCCTTTTCTGTACCATAGCGGAATGTGTGGAAGAGACTCGCTTTTGAAACTTCCTTTGTGACAACACGAGTCGATACTTCATCTTGAGCCAATATTTTAGTTACCCGCTTAAAGCATTCACCCATGGTTGCTTTGACTATCGGACATTAGGTCCATCAGATTAATCATCCCCTCGGATTAGGGCTCCAATTGTGGTGGCGCCAGTCTGTAGAAATGCTACATCTTGTGGATCCTTGACACCTCCCCACCGCTTTGTGGCTAGTCGTTTGGGCCAAAAGCTTTGCTCGAGTTATTTAGTCTTTTTTGCCTTTGCCCTGGCATCCTGGCGGCGTCCCAACCCTCACACGGCTATAGCAATCACATCGAGTTAAGAATTATCCTGTGCCGATCATCACACAATTTCAAAAGGGACTCCTGTCTGCAGATCTGCTGAAAATAGTCTTATGTCGATGCGTCTGTTCTTACTTGTTCACATGCCCTTCTGGTACCTTCGGTTGCCACTAGTTCCAACCCTCAGCTGCAGTATTTCTGGAGATATGCCGCCAAAATCCATACAATCATAGTGCCTAATCGTCTCTTCTTACAATGGATTATATTTTGCGAGAGCGTTGTTCACATTTCCAGATTGCGATAGTTGAGCAAACTTCGTCACAACCTCTGTTACCATTCTTAGTAACGGAAACGTATGTTTTCAACAGTTCAATCGTGTTTTCGTTTCCAAGTCCTACGGATGATTCGGTCTGTCATTTTTTTCTAATCTGTGCACATCACTAGACGCGTTGTTCGATGCCTTTTGCAGATCACACACACAACACCAATATCCTCTAGGCCGTTTTCCCATTTTCCTACCTTACGCTAGTCGTCCTTTACCCATGTGACTTTGTCAGCTTCCAGTCTCTAAGTCTGCTAGCGTAAATTGGCCAAATTTCTCAGCTCAAGTCACCTCCCACCACCACTGTCTCATCGCTACTGGTGGTTTACTTGGATCGTAAACTGTGGCCTAGTGCTTTCTACGATTCACATTATGACGTCTTGTTGGAATTCGAAGATTAATTTTGTCGACCTTCAAAGAGATGTTGTGTTGCGTGCGTGATTTCATATGTATGCAGGCTATTCACGATAGTTCCTGGATGCTGGACTTATTCGCAGTTCATTATCCACAGTAACCTTCATTCCTTACGGCCTCGTGTTCCATCTAGCTCATAATGGGTACTTTGTGTTTTTTAAAGGCCATCTACGAGGCTGTCAGACGACGTCGGGAATTCATGGACAACAATTCGTCTGGTGATGAAGACGATAAAGACGCGAACAGCGATTCTTCCGGTTGGTGTGATTGACTTCCATGGACACAGGTTCTTCGTTTAGTTACCAGCCCCTCTCCCCACTTGCTCCCATGGTGACTTTCTCCGACTTCGGCCGATGCTTGTGAGTCGCGCAAACAATTACTTCTACGTGGCGTCCCCCCCCCGCGCCGTAACGCTCATGCGCTATCTGTTCTTTTAAAGCCTTCCACATACAAGTATTGGCCGTCTCCTTTTCTCAAATTCGCCAATGCCACTTTTCCACAGGTCTTTCGGTTCGTGTCTCTGTAATGAAACCATCCCTGTCTTTTGCTTCTTGGTGGTGTCCAGCGCTTTTCCCTGACCTCCAACCACCACTTCATTCCGGCTTTCTCCGCTCGAATCGGTCCGCATCCATGTCGCTTCAACCATATGTCCACTACCTTCCGTTCCCATTCTCATTGTAGATTGCATTGATTTGTTTACACACACTCTCTCTGTCTCTCATCTCGAATTGGATTCCGTCCTCGCCTACAATTGCCACCAACCTTTTTTTATTTTCCTCACCAGTGCAATTCCTTTCTCTGACCTATACGACTTTGTCCAGTAGTTCCTCGTCATATGCTCATCTAACTCACTTGCTATGCCTGTTTCGATCACGCGTACTCTAACAGTGCAACCCATCCGGTCTACATACACAGATGCTTTAGACTATCCAATGACCTTTCCCCGCCCCCGCAACCACATCACGTGCGTCAGTAACGTTTCACACCTCTTCCACGGCCATCACTGCATATATACCGCTCCCTTTTCCATTGCGTTTCCTTGAATTCAATAAACTATCTTGGCAGTACTTTCCTGTGCGGAGTTGTCACGACTGTTTTCCAGGGAGCCACTCCTTCTCTGCTACGCACAGCTCACCCATGCGCTCAACCTCAGAGCGCCTTAGTGTAGAGTCCACATTGTGGTGATCACGTGACCACCATTGAGTCATTGCGAATCCACTGAGGACAACGACCGATCGCCATGAGAACGCGCTTTGCACTCTGCCTGTTTTCCCTTCCTCTGTGCTATGTTGTCAGTTTACTCGCTCTGAGCTCCTCGCATAAACCCGATCATGCACGTGGTTTCCTTGTTCGGATCCGACACCCTTGTTGTTTGCCAAGTGAATCTACCTTGTTGGATATTGCCAGTCAACATGAGCGGCTGAAAATAGAATTCGTTTTCGAATTAGTTGTTGCATCCGTAACATCTGTAGCTTCGTAAGGGAAGTTCCCTTGGTCTGGAAGCCCATATAGCCATCTTTCCCATTCGATCTGAACACAAAACACTAAATATGTCCATCTCCATCGAAGTCTGATCCGAGGATCCATGCGGAATGGTGTTACTAATTCCTGGACTCTAATGTGGCGCGTGGTTTGTGTGCCTCAGTGATCTATTGAGCTATGCTGAGTAGTGCTTTTTCTGCACCTTCAGAGCCACTCATACCAGATTGGTCAATGGTTAGAGGCCAGACAAACTCAGCCTCCTCGTCCTCTAGGTTGGGATTTGGAGTGAGGGTTGATCCTTACTCCATAAAACGGGCTGTCTGTAGTCCAGTACCAAAACCTCGCTGCTTTGCAGTAAGGTTTTTGAACCAAATGCTTTGGTTGAGAACCCTAATCGTTCTCCTGCCTAGGCCTGAGTAACCTGACAGTATTATGCTCACGCAATACACCATGACCTTTTTTTCTGACAATCTCTTGATGCCGTCGCAGAGGATAATCAACGGTGCCCTATCTGCTTCATCGAGCAGGGTGGGTAGGTGTTTGGATGCTACTGCTCAGGCCTTCCCGCTTTCCTATTTCCCCTCTTGCGCTTTCGCATCCTTAGCGTTCCGTTCTAACTTCACTTTCATCCCCCCGTTTTCAATCCCCCAATTCTTGGCCCTCCCCCACCTTGCTTGAATAGTCGCTTGTCTTCTAGTTTTAACTCACACACAACCGCAGGTCGTCGCTCCAATCTAGTCGACAAGTCCATGTTCAACCAAGCGGGCAACGTCAGTTCATCCGTTTCCCTTTGCATTCCTCGATCCTCGCTAAGACTGGCATGCCTCAACCTGTGCACTTTGCTACAGATTGGCCAACAGACAGCATTTGCCTAAACACTCGAGATCCTGTCGATCGATATTTGTTGTTTATCGCAAACCCGCCTACAAGACTCGAGCCCTGTACTCATTCTACGATCCCCCGCATGCGACACTGGTGGCACATTCTCATTGCACCTGTTTGGCGATGACGCATCTTCAAATGGTCCGACTGGCGTCGGCATTGTTTTGGGTCCCCAGGCTGATGCTGCCCTGATCGACTGGATCCTTGTCAACAGTCGGATGTGCGCGGTTAGGTTGCCTGACTCCTTCCAGTCTTCGAAGCCGCACCGGAACAAACGGTGCCTGTTTATCATTGCGGCTTACGCCCCCAAACTGCAGCCCTGATTCGGTGAAGGATGCTTTCTATCATCAAATTAACGATCTTATTCGTTGCAGAAGAAGCACCGATACTGTGATGCTTGCTGGTGATCTGAACGCCCAAGTCGGAAAATTGTCCTCTGATGAGCTTCATCTGGATGGCCAACATAGTGTAGGTCTTCCGTAATGATAGCGGTGAGCGGTTGCTACACTTGTGTGAAGCGACTCGTCTCTTTCTCGCAAGCACTAATTTTCGACTTAAGGCCCGCAGAAGAGTGACTTCGCGCCTGCCAGCCATGGACGCAAATCGATCACATCGCGATTAATTACCGCTGGAGAGGCTGTCCAAAATTGTCGCTCGATTTAGTGCACCAACGTGGACTCCGATCACTCTCTTGTGTATGCCAACCTGCGGGTACTTTTCGGCGGACGTCCGCAACGTCTCTCTGAGCTTATTGACCCCAGCCAGCCAACTGGCCAAGCCATGTGTTCTGAATGCGTATCAAGCTACGCTGGCCTCTAGGCTGAGTAAGCGTCCACTGAACACCGTCGAAGATCACTGGTCGCATATTCGTCAAACGTTACTATCAGCAGGCATGTCTTCATGTGGCAAATCAAATTGCCAACCTAGACATTTGGTCTCTACAAAGTCTGTTTTAACTTGTGTATGCTCGCCGGCGTATTCCGGCTGGAAGCGAATACAATGAGGCTTGCAAAAATCTCAGGGTAAAACTGCGTGCTAGTCGGAAGAAAGACCGCGAAGCTTGGTGATCTCATCGTGCATCGGAGATGCAAACAGCCGCTGCCATTGGCAACTACCGTGACTTATTCCGTCTGATACGGGAAACAGACAGTAGGAGACCTGGTGTTAGTGAGACCATACGTGACGAGAATGGACAGCCGATCTACAGCGTGTCAAAACGCTTGGAGCGCTGGGCCGAACACTTTGCAAGGCAGTTTAACCAATCTGAGTTATCGCTTTCTTTTTCGGGCATTGAGTGCCCTTCTGCATTATTCGTCTCCTTAGATGCGCTCTCACACGCAGAAGTCAAACGTGATATCAGAATGTAGCAATTGCATAAGGCCGCAGGGGCAGAAGGAATTCCCCTAGCCCACTTCGAATTCGGGGGCTTTGTCTAGTAGATGATTTACACGAGTTGCTGGTGGAACTTTGGGTGCAAGAATCTGTACCGACAGACTGGAATCGCTCCGTCATAGTCCCAATTTTCAAAGGAGGCTCCCGTTCGGAATGCGGCAATCATAGAGGGATCAGTCTGATCTCACTTGTCTCTAACTTGCTTGCGCCTGTTGTTCTCTACAGACTGACTGGCACTCGTGAAGGCCAGATCTGCAAAGAGCAAACCGGGTTTCTTCGAGGTCGGGGCTGCATCGACCACATCTTCACTTTGCGTCAATTGTTGGAGCACCGCCATGTTTATTGGCAATCGACCGTTGTCATGTTTCTCGATATCAAAGGTATGTTCGATTCGGTGGATCGATGTGCCCTTTGGAACTGTCTGCTGAGAAAAGGTGTGCCCCATAAATATGTAAACATTATCAAAGCGCTGTACGCGCAAAGTTCGGGCAGAGTGAGGGTTTACGGCAGACTCTTGCCGCCCCTCAATATCTCCAGTGGTGTGAGACAAGGTTGCCCGCCATCACCTTTCCTCTTTACTTTCGCTGTTGATGAAGTCGTGGAAACAGCGTTCACTGGACACGACCTAGAAGGTCTGGAGCTAATTCCTGGTGAGCGACTTCTTGATTTGAAGTATGCGGACAACATTGCCCTCATGTGACAGCGTCCAAACGTGCTAGGCTGCACTGGATCAATTAGCACTGGCTGTCAATCGTTTTGGGCTATGCTTTGCTCCATCGAAATGCAGCCTTTTTAAGATTGAGAATGACCCACCCCTGCACTAACGCTTTGTGGTGGTCTGCTAGAAGTCGTTCAGGAATTCAAATACCTGGGCAGCTGTATTAACACCCGTGGAATTGAAGATGAGGTTACGAACCGTATAGCAAAAGTTCGAGATGCTTATTCCAATCTCCGCCACCTGTGGCGGAGAGGCGACATTTCTCTTGCCCTGAAGGGCAAACTTCATAATGCAACCATCCGTTCATACTCTCTCAGACGGTTGTGAAACCTGGCCCATCTGGTCGACATACATAAAGAAGCTAGCCACCTTCGATCATCTCTGCCTTCGCAGCTTAGCTCATGTGTGGTGGGAGCACCGCGTGAACAATGAGCCTGTTCGGCGTCGCGTATTTGGTGCAGGAAGAGCGATTGAACCGCTCAGCACCATTATATCACGCACCAGGCTCCGTTGGTTGGGCCACATGTTGCGCATGCCAGCACACCGACTTCCGCGACGTTCATTGTTTGCGCGTTGTGGGTGCGGTTGGAAGAGGAGGAGGGGAGGCCAAGCGATGACTTGATCGAGAGGAATGAAAACCCTCACTTCGAAGTTGGCGTCGGTTGGTGCATCCCGACTGCCTGGCTGTGGTCCTAAGGACGGTGAACACGTTTGGTTGGACACACTTGCTGATATGGCTTGGAGCCGACCCCAATGACGTTTGTGTTGTGAGTTTCTTTGTCCATCCCCCTCCAGCTTAGCCTCAATCTCCATTCACGGTCTCAGTCGTTGGGCATAATATAAACTCTCATTGCGGCACGATAGCCCGCTGTTAGCTCTCCGAAATGATGTCCATGCTTTGCTGGGGACTCAGCGGGCGTGCCTCTGTTTTTTTTCTTTTTCTTCCTTTTAATTTGCGGCACAATAACTGAGGTATTTTCCACCTGCAGCTAATGTGTATAATGATGATGATGGTAGACCTTTTCAAACTCCACAAGTACCTTGTCATATTCGTTTGCGAAACCTTTTATGTTAAACTTTTCTTGGGTACAACGTGAGCCACGCCTTTACAGACATGATCATATTATGATAACAAAGTGTGAACAAAAATATACACAAATACCACGTATTTGCCATAACAGTGATTATGTGTGTATGAATGTGTAGCTTGGGCTTGTTTGTGTGCCGTTGTATTTTTGACTTTGATATCGTCGGCTATTTAAGGATAGACGATTGATATTCGTGGATTGGAAATATTATCCAGATGTCCACGAGGCAGTGACTTGAGTTTGTGGCGACTCACATGCGCCACGTCACAGTGTTGATAAACGGGCATCTGTGGGCGTTTTATAGGGAGAATGTTTGCCAGGCGAAAATCCACTGCCGCCGAACTATTTGCTGGAATCGGTTACTCCTGAACCACCCAGCTGGCACCACGACATTGTTTGGCTAGCCAGCGTTTAGGAAGTTACAAAGGAATAGTAATCGGGTTTTGAATTGCATAAGTAGAAATAAATCACATCAGACTCAAACAGGTAGCCATCACATGCCCGGAAAACA